CTTATAATAAAATTGATATAAAATAATTTTGATAATTGATATTTAGATACAGGGTGATATTTAGGTTTTTAGTTTAATTTTGTTTTTACATGGCGAATTCCAACAATAATATTCCATTAATTTATAGAATAAATACTTATAGATAATTTACAGTTATTTGGGAGTAGCATGGTTGAAAATTCAGGAAAAATGGACACGGGGAGCTGTTTTATTTGCAAACAATCCACCCACGAGAATATTATATTATTTGACCGTGAATGTTTATCAAAATTTAAAAAAAAATATGGAATGCCGAAACTTCTACAAATTGAAGTATATCGTAAAATCACTTTGTATATAATTTAATTAGTAAAATTATTAAAAGAATTTACTAAATTTTTAAATAAATTGTATATTTTTTATATGAAAACCATAATAAGAAGACCCATATCCTGCGCAATATTTTCATAACATAAAACGTTATTATACTTATACGAGTAGGAAATGTATACTAAATTATTCATTTAAAATATTTAAAATTATTTCTGATGCCTTGGTAGGATTCTCCACTCAACCATTCACTGTTGGGAAACAGTAACAAAGCCTACCCAAAATACGAGGCGAAATAATCATAGCAGTTGAAGCCGATGACACAAAAAAAATAACCCTGCATAAACATTTCTACATTTTCTGACAGATCTTTTTTAATTAAATAATATGTTCCATTTTCGACACTTATGCTTTCATTATAGGGTCTTAAAATCACAAAACAAACGGATTGTATGAGAAAATGGTGGACATTTCTGGACTTTTTGGCAGCTTTTTGGTAAATAAATTATGTATAATTAATATGATAATCATGTTCGACACTCAAGCCATTTGTTATATAGTCTTGGAATCACTTTTTCCAAGCATATGCCAAACGGCTTGTGTGAAAAAGTGGTGGATATTTATAGATTTTCTTGTCAGCATTTTGTTAAATATATTATGTATAAATAATAGGGTGTTTCATTTTTGAGCAACTTTTTTTTTTCAACTATAAAACAGGCTTAAAACTTTGAGGAAGGTGAGAAAAGAAGCCTCTAAAAATTTGAGCTCTTAATATTATCATTTAGTGGTGCCTGTTCCTAACTTTCCATTTTCCATCTAAATAACATGGAACATTTTTTTTTCTATTTTCTTATTTTTGTAGCTTGACATTTGAGCATTGTAAAAATAAAGTGAAACATTATTTTGGTAGGAAATTGAACGCTCTACAAAAAGTTCTTATATATTTTTTTCATAGAGTGAGCCGTTCTGAAGATATTCAAACTTAAAGTGGCAAATGTATGAAATTAGGAGGCTTTTATTTTAATAAACTAATACTGATGACTTTTTTTATGTCTTAAAAATTATTTATAATCAGAAAACTGGTTTTCGTGCGCTAATATTTTTAGAAAGCTAAAATAAAAAAAAATACATCTTAGATATTATTTGATTAACTGTTAAACAAAAGTAATTATGAATTAGGTTCAGTAAAATTATTATTTTATAGATTAAAAACAACTTTTTAACAATTAGCATACTAAAATTTTGAAACTAATAGATATTTTAATGTCTTATCAGAATTAAATGATGTAACTATATTTGTTGAAGTTTTTTTTATTACAATTTGGATATTTTCATCGGTGCTCCTTTACCACTTGTAATAAATATCCTCATCCTCATCTTTAGTTAGGCATCTATATATTCTTCTACTAATGCGACGCCATGTCCTGCAACGTCTTTCAATTTTTCGAAAAACACCAAATTCTCTTGATAACTTTCATTATCTGGCCAAATTAGGACATCTGCATCCAGAAAGTCGTACGGCAAATCAAATTTGTCAAAAAGTTTTAATGATTGTTTTGAAACAGTCACTCATATTTTTGTTTAAAAATATTTCTGGTGAATTTTTGTCTTCTGTGCGTCGTTATTTTATTTCTATATGAAAATAATGATGTTTTCTTGAAAATAATTTTTAAGACATTTAAAATTCATCAGTTTAATAAAATAAAAGTCCTAATTTCATACATTTGCAACTTTAAGTTTGAATATCTTCAGAACGGCTCACTCTATGAAAAAAATATATTAAAACTTTTTGTAGAGCGTTCAATTTCCTACCAAAATAATGTTTCACTTTATTGTTACAATGCTCAAATGTCAAGCTACAAAAATAAGAAAAAAGAAAAACATTTTTTCCATGTTATTTAGATGGAAAATGGAAAGTTACGAACAGGCACCACTAAATGATAATATTAAGAGCTCAAATTTTTAGAGGCTTCTTTTTTCACCTTCCTGAAAGTTTTAAGTTTGTTTTTTAGTTGAAAAAAAAAAGTTGCTCAAAAATGAAACACCCTAAAATAATATGAAGACCATGTCCAACACTCAAGCGTTTTTATAGTCTTAGAATCATTTTTAGTCCATTTAAAATAACGGTAAAAGGTCAAGAAACGCCCCACATGACGAGACTACTTGTCCCCTACGTATTTTGGGGCGCTGATTACGAAAATAAGGGTTAAAACTGGCAGCAATGGTTGGAGCACCCCTAAAATTGCAAAAGACACCCCTATATTGTTTTGCAAACTAAGCCACCCAAAAAAACATATAAGATGACTTAGTTCGCTAAACACCGTGGTCATTTTTTTTTTCGAAAATTCACCCCACAAATTTTTCAGTCTCGACATATCGATTTTCGAAATCAGCGACCGAAAAAATATATGAAATAAGTAAGTTTGCAAAAAACACCTTTTATTTATGTTAAGGAAAATCGAATTTTATCCCCAGGGGCCATTCGTAAATTTTCTTTCATTCTACTAAAAATCAATGTACTTTTCAACCCTCTTCGAGGCTTGTATGCGAAAATGAGGCACCTAAAGCAGTCACTATCTGACGGTCTATAGGTCATCTTCATTTATTTCTAGTGATGAAATGTGTTTTCTTTAGTAGTCTACGGGCGAAAAATCAGATTTTTCAGCCGTTTCGTGTACTGGATATAGGATCCAAATTAATATGGCCTAAAATTATAATTTCTGTCGCCTCAGTCCTAACTCGCTTTTCAAAGTTCTTTTTTTATTAGGTACGGATCGAGTTTGACGCATTTATTCCACTAGCTCTAATACGTATGAGTGATTAAAGTTCATTTTCTTTGATTGAATAAATTTGATGTGCCCTTGTACTATTCCTGTTTAAAAAAAAAGATGGAAATAATTTCGACTCGGGCAATAGAATAGATCATTTTATTAATAATTTTTTTTTATTAAGGTGCGTATAAATATAACGGACCGGGTCTGGGCCATGCTTGCATCGTCCCAAGAACAAGCCAATTTCGTTAGATTTGTACGGTGTTGTTTGTCTAAAAAGGGCCACGCAAAATAGGATCGAAGCATATCCGGCCCGTTTCTTTCCATCGCACGATAGACATACGGCACTGTAAAAATCAGACAAACCTGGGCCCGTTGTTTGCCCTGGCTTGGCCCGTTATATCTTGGAGTAAAAACATAATATTGGCAAATTGAATATTTAACTGGGGTATTGGTAAATATTACTAGATGAAAGTAGGTTGATTATCTATTTTTGTTGTAATAATAATCTATGTCTATAATTTTTTTTATTTATTGTCAAAATCTGTAAAGTAAGCTATCACTTACATGTCTTCTGAATTTATAAAGTATCGTAATCCATTAATTCTGAAAAACTATTATTGGAATCGTCTTTATCGTCGGAACTTAAAGTTATAACTAAAGGTTTAAATACCGTTTCAATCATACCGTTAAAGCGCCGCACATTAATATTTTCCATAATTACGTAAGAAATTGGATTCTGCCAATCTTTAGATTTTATACGTTCTATACTTTCTATACCAGTTTTTAATAAACGTTGAACCCCAGCTATTTAAATGTATTGTGTTTTTAGGGCCATAATCCGTTTCACCTGTACCAAAATTGAATCAAAAGGATTGAATTCGCAGTGATAAGAGGGAAGCCATAGTAACGTAATATCACGATCACTAGCCAGTGTCGACAACATATTGAATATAGTTATGGCGTTTTGCTTTTATAAAGTCCATTAATTCCACTTTAAGCATCTCCTTAGTAAATGTTGTTTTATCCCAAAACCAGCTTTGCAAATCCGCTTTCCTACTGGACATGGTCTGCTGTGATGAAAAGCCTTATCTAGTACAATAACTGAATTTGGTTCTACCCGCTGTAACACTTTACTAAACCACTTTTTATAGCATTCTGCATTCATGTCCTCATGGTAGTTTTTTATATATATATATATATATATATATATATATATATATATATATATATATATATATATATAAACATAATAGCAGTGGTTTTCAAAAAGTTACTGTCACTTCACCTGTCACCTGATGGTGCTTTTAAATCACAAAAGCTTGATAATGACTCGTGACATAAGTATCTTGCCATATTTTAGACACCGTTTGTCTAGCATTCACCCACGTTTCATTGAGATAGTATGTATTTTTTAATGGCTCTAAACTCTTTAATACTTCGTAAATAACGCCGTAGCCAGGACACCTTTTAATTAAACTTAATTTCCTACACCGTGTAACCAAACAATACTTCAGGATACAATTTTTCGTAAAAACATTTTTACGGAATTTTACGACTGATAAAAGGAATATCCTTGTTTTCTCTTAATTTCGCAATACCAGCTTTAACGGTATGCGCTTTATTTAAAAAAAAAGAATGTACAGTTCTTCGTATTATTTGTTTTTGATTATCGTTCAATTTTACCTGTTGATAACACGATGTGGTTATTAGAAGGTTTCTTTATTACGAAATATTTATATTTTAGTTCTATAAGGCCTTATGCACATGCCCGGCCTGGGAATGATATGTTTAAATTGAGTAAATAATGTATATTATGAAATTTAAACAATTATTATATTTAGTCAATATTTCGATAGATTTAAAGCCATAAAAATATAAATATATACTTGAACTTGATTAAAAATATATCAAACTTACCTTAACGGTTACATTGACATTTCTGCAAATATTATTTGACGGCGAAATTGTAATATTTTCTGCATAATTTCCTATTCCCATAACTCTATAATCTAGTCTTAACTTTACTTGAAATTGAACATCTGCCAATGGCAATTTGGTCGTATTGGCTCGAGGTGTGTATTTCACACAGTATGTTATCGACACATAAGTACTGTTACTTATAGAACTGACATTTGATTTTAATGTCGTAAGAAAATCAATTATTGGTCTTGTTTTTAAAATAAATACTCGTCCACTTCTATAAGCGCCAATTGCCAAATCTGGAAAGTTAAGAAAAAAATAATAAGAAAAAAAAATCAATTAAATCAGGAAATTATTAAAAATATCAAATAACATCGTGTTACCAAGAAACGGAAAATAAGACTAAATAGTTTAGTGGGTACACTATAAAAGTTTTCTTTAATTATTATTTAATAATAAGAAATTATTTTTCAAATATATGTTAGTTTTGCATTTGGCCATTTACTGTCCCTATTAACATAGGTGAATGAAGTACCTATAAGAATAAAGTCATCGCTTTCTTCTAGAAGCTGCAATACACAAATTTGTGTCCTTAACACACAAATAACTATTGTTTTAAATAAAGTGTCATAATCTGAGAACGTGTACTTCTTTAAAATAAACATATTTTCAACTGTTTTCTGAATAAGCCTCTGTGCAAGCAAGCGCTTGCATAAACAAGTATCAGAAATTAAAAATTTAAAAAAACCGACTTCAAAAACGTGCAGATGCCATCACCACATCTTAACCAAATTTATATGGTACCACCCCTGAGATACCCCCTTACTAGCAAAATTATATAAATCGGACAAGGTGGTAAAGCATTATCGCTAAACATACATAAAAAATTCTTCGAGCCAGGTGGATGGATAGAATTTTATTGGATACAAACAATCTAAAATCTGTGAGGGCGTGGTTTAACATCAACAGTAGTGACGTCACCAAATAATTTGAATTTAAAAAAGTTTCATGTTTTTTATTACTGTTTATTTGTCCATTGAACTATACATGAGTCAAAATATTGGTGTTTTGTGTCAAATATATATTTTTTAAAAAATGAGATACAGTTCAGCAATATTTGTAAAAGCTACGTGTACAACTGAATAACTTTTCAATAAAGACCTTCTGCAACAAATTTAAAATTCTTGTCAACAAATTTCCCATAAAACTTCTTTAAGAGTCAGCTATTTTCATCCAGAGCTTCTCAGGTAACTTACAATTCAACGGGAAGTGTGATTCAAGAACCAGCGATTACAAGTCATCGCGCTCTCTTTATGGTCCTTCGAGCTTGGTTATTAACGCAGTTTTAGTTTCAACAAGTTTCATCAAGTAAAACAACTACAGTCCATTATTAACTTTAAGAGTATAATCAAGCTGCAAAATTATATAAGGTATTGAAAAAGCTCTTTTTTAGTGAAAATAAGGACATTTATTTCATTATTTCTTGAGTGTATAAAACGTTGTTTGTGTCATCGGACGTAAAAGTTTTAATTGTTTGAACATCGTCAGCTTTTAATATTTTTAGAGATGCCGCCACTTACACCTTTTAACCTAGTATACTCAATACTTTTCTCAGTACAAGATTATCGCATTTTTTCAGTATTCTTAATAAAAATTACTTTCTACAAGTAAAAAGGATACTCTTTTTCTAACAAATAAAGTAACTAGCCTTCGCGTTGCAATACCCTATTACTTTTAAAAATACCCTTTAAGCCGAGCAGAGGAAGTGAGGAGTCTAAACAATTCCTAAATGGTGGATTTTTAAGAACAAAGACCAATATAAAGGTACTGTCAGGTGCTGCCTCTAGTTAAGCAAGTACGAAACAAATATAAGTTGTGCTGTTTCGTAAAAAGTTTACTTTTAAACTCCCAGATACGGAGCTGGTCTACATTATATTTTGAAGACGCAATAATTCAGTTGAAAATAATAAAGGTGGGCATTTCAGTTTAATCAGTTAATTTCCCTAAGCCCAACTCAGTTAATTTTATAGTCGGCTGCATCAAAAGATTAATTGAGTTAATTTATCATAACTTGCATGATAATATGATACATATTTCTACATTATTTGTATATTAGTGTGTCAATGGCATCGTACCAACTATATGGTTATGAGCCTCGTGTTGTATATGCTTTGCTACTATTCCCCTGTGCATTTATAGAAATGGTTTAAAGACTCCAACATTTTATAATAAAATTGTAATAAATTGATGATAATAATAAAATTTGTACTATACTACAATCTCAGCATAATAGGCAGTAGGAAAATTTCAGAAATGTTTTACAGTTGTCATATATCGAAAGAAAAATTTCCATCAATATACAAATTATACAAAAACAAATGTTTAAAATACATAATTGTTACTTAACACTATAATGTATCATGCTTAAAATTATTTCATTATTTGCCTAAGGGGTAAATTACAATTCTTAAATTTCTAGGTACCTTATTTGAATCCAAGAACATAAAAAAACTAATATTAAATACGTAATTTGCTTCACATTGAAAACAGTTAAATCACCTGTTAGCGGTTGATCGGATTGTTACATGTTGCCATGAGTTATCTCTCGCATTTTTTGCCATGCATTAAAACGGGCACGTTTGAGTCAAACTCCATATAGAAAATGCAACGTCGATAATATTTAAGGCTTTGAAACATGCAGAACTTTTTATCAAGAAAACATTTTTTCACAAAACCAATAATAAAAAAGTTTTCCATGTGGTTTCAAGTTAAGTAGACACACTGTATATTTTTTTATTATTTTCCTTTGAATTACTTCCAACCTCTTCAGATGAGTCTTGTCCATAGCCCCCCAGGATATTATGCCATATCGTATTTTGGAATCTACAAGACTAAAATATATTATGCGAAGGTATCTACCATCTATATATTTCTTTAAATATTTAAATTTATTAAGTAACAATCGTAATGTGTTTACAATATCTACATAAAAATTCCTTCTTAAATGAGAGTGGACAGTTACTCCTAAATATTTGATATAATCCTTTTTTTATTGTCTCATTATTTTGATATATTTTATGCGATTTATATAATAGGGGTGCATTTTTGTAGCTACAGAAGGGCACAAAATAAGTTTTCTCATAGTTAACTCTTGTTTCTGTTTAAAACCAATTTATTATTTGTTTTAGATCCTTTTCAGCTTTTTCTTTTAATTCTTCCCAACTGTTAGCCTTATAAAATACCGCCGTGTCGTCCACAAAACTAATGATAGTACTTAGAGTATCAATGGTGAAAATATTATTTAGATAAATTGAAAATAGTAAAGGACTCAACGCTGTTCCTTGGGGTATTACAAATTTGACTAGCACTTAATTCATTTTCATCTTTTACCATCTGTTCGGTATCAGACAAATAACTTTTTAAGAGTTCTAATTTAATGCCACGTATTCCTGAATCTTCCAAAGCATCCAACAATTGTGGGTGACAAGGTCCAGAAATACACATAAAGATGGTTTGGTTTCATCTACAGCTGTATAATTTTTCCATTCTATATTTAAGTGTTTTTTCAAAGATTTTTATGAAAGTTGTAATTAAAGAAATTGGTCTATAGTTATTAATTAGATTTTTTGGACCTTTTTTATGTCTAGGCACCATAACTGTTTTTTAAAATTGTTTTGGACATTTACGAGACCTATAAATTTTATTGATTACATTTAAAAGTAATTGCGCTATTTCGTCAGCTAGAATTTTAATTGTTTCATGTGTTACGTTATCTCTCTTCGGTGTAATTTTTTTTTTAATGAGTTTATTAGGGCTTTTATTTTATTTTCTGTGACTGGCTCTAAGAATAAGGAATTTTGTAGATAAAACCTATTAGGTTTTGGAATGTTAGGTATTTTAATATGAGCAGCTAGTTTTTCTCCGATGTTAGAAAAAAAAAATTAAACTCATTTGATATTTGTTTCGGCAGATTTATAAGATCGCCTGTTTTAAGTCGTATTTCCTCAATTTTTTATTTTTTTTTTTATTGTCTCCGATTATTTCTTTTATTATGTTCCACAATATTTTTAAAAATTCCCTATTTTTAAGATTGGTTTTTATAAAAATCAGCTTTTGCTTTTCTTATTAATCTGTCTGTTTTCTATAATTAATGAATGTATGTTTTTTGTCATATTTTTTGGGTCATCTTTGTGTTGTTTGTGTAATTTATTTCATTGTTTTATTGAATTTATTAGGCCTTTTGTTATCTTTTCTTTTATACAAATTAATTTAGTTTTTTGTTTTATTAAGAAACTATTTTTATCAGTTAAATTATTAATTGTTTGTGCGGGATAAAGGATTTGATCTTTTGTGTTAATGATATTACAGTGTACAGTTTTTATTAATGAAATCTATTTTAAGTTTTTTGTAATTAATGTTTTTTTATTTTTTTTTTGTTTTCGTTCAAAAAATAATTTCTCTTTACTGGTAAAAAAGCTATAGTAGCCTTATGGTTCGTAATGTGTGTATCAAATAAAATTGCATAATATTGCAATCATTAATATTAATTGTGTAGAACAGAAAATATGATCAATATAACTTTTTGGTTTACCTTGGAATCGCGTGTATTTATTTATGAGTGATATAAAGTTATTTTCAGCTAACAAGCTCAGATAATCAGAAACCGTATCATTACTAATTTTTATGTTTATATTTGTATCTCCTACTAGAATATGACTTTCAATATTATTACTGGTTCTGATTTGATCGGGGTACAGTCTTAAATGTTGAACAAAATCATCGTCATTTAAAGGCGGAGATTTGCAAAATACAGTTACAAGTAATTTATTATGTTTATTAAATGTTACAGTGATTTGAATGATTTTGTAAAGTCCCAAATTGATAATTTTGTGTATAAAACTAAAATTTTTTTTAATATAAAGTATGACACCATCATTTCTATTAATATTACCTTATTAACAAATTAGGATCTGGTATATTTAGAGTTTCCGTCAAAACTATGCAGTCATAATTATAATTAAGTTTTGCAAAATGTATTTCTAAGTCATTTGGCGAATCAATAGAAGAAATAATAGGTCTCATTGATAAATTTGGCAATGGCAATTTATCAAAATTTCTAACAGATATTTTAAAATCTTCGTATAACACTAACAACGAATTCTATATCAAAGACTCTTTTTTATTTAGTGAGTTTATCAACAATTTCCAATTACCTGAAAATTACATAGTGGTTAGTTTTGAAGTAGTTGCCCTTTTCACTAACTTACCTTTGCCAGTTATCAAGGATAGTGTTACAAACCATTGGCATGACATATAACCTCATTGCAACTTTAATCTAGAAATTTTATTAAACATTTTACAGTTTATTTTTGACTCAAACATTTTCACTTTCAATGGTAAGTTTTTTAAACAGATTTGTGGCACGCATATGGGCCCATTAATTTCACCCATTTTATGTAATTTTGTGTTGGATGATTTGGTTCGAAGTTGCCTCAGCAAAATATCTTTTTAAATTTCATTTGTCAAGAGATACGTTGATGACCTAGTATTGTCTCTTCCTGTCAAAAAATTACCAGACGCCCTTATGATTTTCAACAGCTACAATGAAAATCTTCAATTCACAGTTGAATATGAAGTTTACCCTTCATAGACATGAAAATTTTCAGGGGTTTAGACAATATTCTGCGTTCAAGGTGGTACAGAAAGCCTGTGTGTAGCAATAGGTTTATCAGTTATTGGTCTAACCATCCCCCCAAAATGAAAACGAACCTAATTTTAGCTTTAAAAGGGAGAATACATAGGTTGTCACATCATAATTTTATCAACGAGGATTTTTTACTGTTGAGAGATATTATGTGGGAGAATTCGTACCCAATTAACCTATTAAATAAGTATATTTTTAACGCCCCTATTTTAAATAACCACCAAGACCAAGGAAATGTTATTCCAACTCATAACATGATCCCTGAAATCACTATCAGGTATGCATCACTACCATACATACCCAATTTAACACCTAAACTTGTTAATGTATTAAAAAGGGTTAATAACATCAAAATTGCCACTCATAACGTAAAAATGATCAAAAATCTTTATACAAAAACAATAACACCTCTAGACAAATTAGAAAATTCGAATATAGTAGGATAGAATTCCTTGTTCAGACTGTGATAACGTTTACATAGGTCACTCGTCCAGATGCTTATCTGGGAGCATATCTTCCTACAGGAGTGATTGTAACAAAAAAACGTTATCCTGTGCCATATAAGACCACGTAATCAACACATAACATACTATGAATTTCAGTGAAACTGAAATCCTCGTAAAAGAACCTAACTATACCAAGAGGATCTTTTTAGAAATGGTCCACATTCACAATACTAAAAATACACTCAATAAATAATCTGATGTAGCCAATTTAAGCAAAATTTACAATTATCTATTCTCTTTGCAAAATTAATAAATATAGTTTAAAAAAACTAAAAAACACGCTTTTAGAGCATATCAAACTAAAAAGTTAAAAATAATTTTTTTAACACGCTTTTATTCAAATAAGCTTAAAACCATAATAAATGTAAATACTAGTATTATTGTAAAAAAAGCGTCTTGCGCTCGATGTACGAGAAATGTGGACAAAGGCTTTTTTCACAATAATACTAGTATTTTTAATTTATTGTTTTAAGCTTATTTGAATAAAAGCGTGTTAAAAAGAATTATTTTTAACTTTTTAGTTTGATATGCTCTAAAAGCGTGTTTTTTAGTTTTTTTAAACTATATTTATTTTTCACTTTTTAGTTCGATGTATTATAAAAGCGAGTTTTTTAGTTTTTTTACACTATATTTATTTTTTACTTTTTAGTTCGATTAATTATTAAAAAAAAAGTCGAAAAAAAAACAATTATTTTTTTTTCAGCCGTGGACGGGATTAGAACCCACGATCGGTGAGTCTGGCGATCGAAAACCCGCGCCTTAGACCGCTCGGCCAACGAACGAACTTGAGGTAGTGGGATTTACTGACAGTAATAAGCCACTTGCTTTTAGTCCAAAGGAGAGTTACAAACATACATGCAGGTGAAGCTAATAAAAATGTGTTAAAAAAATTTTTTTCTCATTAATAATTTCTTTTTAATTTTCATTTTTTTTTTTCCAATCATCAAATCAACAATATCACATTAATTTTCCATTTCTTTTCATTTTTCTGTTTGAAAATTCTTTTCGAAATATTTTAATAACATTAAAAAAATTTAAATAATTCTTTTTATTAACGCAGATCTAAAAATATTATAATTGTAACCATCTCGTTATTTCCTTGAAGCAACTTAAAAGTCAATGGCTTTTTGCACATGCTGATAAATTTCGTATTTGGACACCGTGTCAGTAGATAGTCTGTTTTAAGGCAGAAATCGACGATGATGGATTTAATATTCCAATAATAAAATTGTTTCTCAGTCTTCAATTTTTAACTATAGTGTAGTTTTATAATGCATAATGTTAACAAGAAAAGTTTTTAATTGTGTAATTGATGTCAATTTTTTCTTTTAATCTCAGTTTGTTGAGTAAATTCTGCTTTTATCACTAATTTTTAACAACGATTTTTGTATTCATTGTAGATGTTCTGATGAAGGAAATAAACAGTTTCCGAAAGCTTAACAAACCAAAAAAGGGTGCATTTTATTTACTAAAAAAACCCTCCTTATCTTTGACTGCATCCCCAAGATATTCTATTTTCTATATATTCTATATATTGTTAATCTAATACATAGTAATTTCAATTTTCAAAAATTGAATATATTTGTTTATTCTTTTTAGATAGATATTCGAATCATATGGTGAACTTTATATAATTATAAGTATTTAAATATTATTAGTTAAATTTAAAGATTGTATTATATCTGAAGAAAAATTGAATAAACGAATTATTATCATTAGTAGAAACCCAGGGAAAGGTCGACCTAAAGTCAAACAACTGGAAAGAGATATGTAAAAATAGAGAAGAATTGAAAAAATTATGTTCTGATGATGATGATGTTTTAAACTTACCATTATATCCATTTCCGTCAACATCAACACCTCCTGAAAGTCCCATACCAAAACCTTGAAGGCTCGCATAGTTGCCATAAAAAGTCAAAGGTGACAATCGTTGACTGTAAGTAGGATTAATACCATTTTGACTGCCTTTGAAGATATATACAGCACCAACACCATCATCTTCAAAGGGTGCTGATATAGCAATATCTGTACGCAATAAAACAAAAGGTTTTAATGCAACCAACTCGGAAAGTAATTAGATGGGATCATAAAATAAAAATAAATATTGTATAAAACAATTGATCATGCAGAGTATCCGGAAAGTCATAATATGGGTTTTTATTTTTGGTATTAAAGAAATTTAAAAATATATCAATTTTTCAAATATACTAAGGTAGAATAAAATGTGTCTTTGAACATATTTAATCAGATTGTAATAGTTAGAAAATGTCTCTATGGGTTTATTAACTAAAATAAAAAAATATATAACCGATTTGTGTCAACATGTCAGAATACAAAATTTCCACTTCTAATAATCTTTCAGAATTATCCCATCTCTGTCCAGGAAAACTGGAGCCAAAACTTTGCCAGCCTTTTTTTGAACACAGAATTGTTTTGATCGTATAGAGCCAGAATGTTTCCTCTCTTTGGACTCATGTTTAGTTTCTGTGCCATAGTTATGGACCCACGGTTTGTACATATTAACAAGCCGATCCAAAAGTGTGAAGGATTGTCTTCAAAACAACATATTTTGTTTGATTTTCACAGCCGATAGCGAGTAGCGTTTAAATTAATACAATAAAATCTGATGACACGTGTCCAAAATGTACTCCTGCTCTAACTCTACTCCGTGTTTTTCACCCGAACTCAGCAAGAATAAAGTAGAGAGGAAATAAACACTATTTTGTAATATGACATATGGATGCACTTCGAGTGAAGAAAAAGTGCAATGAAAATGTCAACTTGAGTCGTACTTTGATTTATTTAAAGTCAATAATTTTATATTTTAAGACTGACGGAATGAAAATGATTTAATATTATTTAAATGAAGCTACCCAACAAATAATTTGAATAGATTAACTATTATGGTAGCGCTTAATCAGCTACATGTTCAGCCAACCACATTTTAGACGATGAAAAAATTAGATGGGCAATATCCAGTTTCTCTCCATCTAAAACGCCAGGACCTGACGGTAATTTATCCAGCCCTACTTCAGTGGGGTCTGGAAGAACTTATACTGCACCTGGTGGGTATATCCAGATTCTCGTTGGCTCTGAGGTATATCCCCAAAAAATGGAGAGAGGTAAAAGTTTTATTCATACCCAACCCTTAAAGGATGGATTACACTGCCCCAAAAACAAACCTTTTTCTATTGTTCTGTACAGCTTGTGTTTATAAAGGACCAATAAAAGACCCAAAACTTGTAATAGCTCAGGTACATTTATTACAATTTTAGGAAATATTTAGATTATTCTGTAAAAATATTTAAAATGACCGTACTAAGTTTTGCATTAGAAATGCTGTTTTATTACTATCTCATACATAAAAATAGACTATAATACCAGTTTGGGGAAGCTAGATTTTTTATGTACGTAGTGTCTATTTTGGAAAGATCTTCAAAAGTTTTAACACTGTTGATTATTTTATGGAAAAGTGGAAGAAAATATATTGCAAATTCTCAAATTCTTCTGTTTTTTCAGGTTTAGGTGCGGGATCTGTCCTTAAAGGCAATTCAATAGGTTTTTTGTCCGAATCTAAAAGGAAACATAGGCGGTGGTGTATTTAAGTCAGTTAATGGTGATACAGCTTTTCGCTTTTTTGAGGATTTAAGATTTTCAGTTTGGGTTAGGGATCGTGTATTTTCTGTATATTGTCGCGCAAAAGCCAACCCTGTGCTTTTTGTACTCCTTGTCCACGGTATAAAGTCTAGCGACGCTGGCAATATAGAGAAACTACCGGATTGATCCTTTTGCGGCGTATGAGTCATGGAAAGGCAGTTTTCGATCGTTCTGGAAAGCTTAAAGAGTTCTAGTACAGAGTTGGCTCTATATAAATAGCGCGAGTTGTCGACGGACGGAAGATTGAATTTAAGTGTTGGGCAGGAAAGATAAATTGTAATAAATAAATTAGAATTGTGAGTTATAATAGTGCCTAAGTATTATTATATAAATTAATTAGTACGTCATAAATAAATTGTAAATAGTGTGTTTTAAATAAATAAACTATAAATAAATTAAACAAAGGTTACAATATTGTATGTCTTTGTATAGGGAAGTAGGTTGCGACTTTTTGGTCTATTCGCATAATTGCGAGTGGGTCTGGAAGTGGCTAGAGGAGAGAAACTCATGGTCAGAATATACATTTAATAATTGGTATCTATTGTTTGTTCTGAGAGTATTAAGGATCGCGGCATATGTGTTTCATCTTTGTTTTTACCGCAGTTTGTATATACCTAATAGGGTTGTGCATCGGTATTGTTTCTCTACATGACCATATCTGAGACATTTGTAACATTTACCTTGTGTATATAAGGTTCGACTGAGCAAGCTTCTGAATTAATAAATATTTTAGAAGGGATCACATTGCCTTCAAAAGTAACAATAATAGTTTGTCTCGGTACATAAATAGTTTCATCTTTACTCGCTACTTTTCGTTTGACTGTGTATATATCATTTATAGTACCTGGAGATAAGAAATTAGTTAATAGATATGTTTCATTAAAAATGGTATCAACGTGCTACATTACACCTTTTCTAAAAAGCAAATTATTTGGAATATACGCCTTTAAATTTTCTTTTTTTTATCATCTTCATTTGAAACCAACTTGGACCCTGACTCTATTTTTGCCCACCCTATTAATTTTTTTAATATTTGGAATGTTTAATTTTTGATGTAATTTATGACTTACAGCCATGGGTTGTAATTTGCCAATGTTTTGGTCATTGACCTGTTACACGTATAATATACCGAATAAGCATTGCGTTTTTGTAGATTAAAGACCTTAGTTTTATTGCCATCGCTCGCTTGTTGGAGATTTTGCGAGGGATTCATTGAATCAAACAGAGCGTCTATCCCCCCTTTGTTGGAAAAGGGTTGGTATTCATTTTTACCAAATCACTGTAACTCACTTATTTTATCACAATATCAAATATCACTTGAAAACAAAGATTTTTTGGTTAAATATTTCTCGATACGAGAGGAGACCAAGAACACGTGTATACTGATCGCTGTAAACAAGTGTACTGTAACAGAACTTAATCAACCTAATAATAATTGCTGATGTGTGGTGTACTTTAGGACTACAACAGGGCATCTTCAGCTTTATGTTTAGCCTATACCTACCATCTAGCTGAATTTGACTTAGGTAGCGCTCGTTCAGCCTATTGTGCAGCATATTTCTAAATGCTGAATAGAGGTGTACTTTAGGGCTGCAACAGAGCTTATTTAGATTTATGTTCATCCTATACCAAGTAGCTCAATAAAGGTTACAATTTGACTTAAATAGTGCTCTTCCAGTCTATTGTGCAGCGTATTTATAATTGCTGATTAGTGACGAACTATAGGACTGCCAGAGGGCTTCTTCAGCTTTATGTTCAGCCTATACTAACTGGCTTAATAAAGGTATACAATTTGACTTAAGTAATGCTCTTTTAGCCTATTGTGCAGCTAATGTTAATTAGCGTTATGCGAGTTTATAGAGAAGCAGAAGAGGCTTTTATGCTACCTACTGATCAGTCAGTTGGTTTATTCAGACTTCGCTACTACTATACATCTGTACATCAGCTAGATTTATGATCAAATCAATGTTAACCAGCTTTAGATGTTTAATGGGACATCAGATAAATAGCTGATCAAAAAATCAATGTAAATGGCATTTATAATCACCAAAACTGACTAGGTCCAGTTTGACAAATGACGTAAAAATATAAAGCAAAGGTGCAAACACTTTAGGATCGTCATAGCATCTCCTCTTTTAACGTTTTTTTAGCATATCTAGAAGAGCAATTAAAAATATGGAAATCGTCAACTTTGTGGAGTAAGTTTTTAATGATAAAGTTGAGTGAGCTCGTTTAAAATGGTGTTGATGTAAGCAAATATTGCAAAGCAAAAAAGTAAAGATCTCAAAAAATCAAAAATCTTTGTTTTAACAAGTCCAGAGGTTGATAAATGAGGCGCCAGATGAAAAATACTTGATGGTACTATTTTCGGAATGTATGGGGCCTGCCAGCGTGAAGAGCTGTTCAATATGTTAATATAAGATAATAGATAAATCATTATTCATATTCTATATACTAAAACAAAAATAAGTCGTTCTTTTGCATTATTGAAAAATACATTGACTATTTTAGTAAGTACGCTTCATTACGCCCTTCTGTTATTAATCATTAACATTTTTTTAATAAATACTCAAATTATAAACGCACTGCCAACCCAGTTGTTATAAACGTGTTTGGAAAAATGCCCTCCATCGATGTTGAGATTCTGAACCTCCCGGTACCAAAGGAATATACAGGTCACTGTTTCAGGTCTTCTGCTTCTTTGTTGACAGACTTAGGAGCAAATATAACGGAACTAAAGAAACATGAAGTGTGGAAGTCTACAAAAGTAGCTGAGGGTTACATCGATCACTATTTTACTCATAAAAAGGCTATTTTTGAAACAATTATCCCAACAGATAGCTCCAGCGCAACAGTAGTATTATCCACTTCATTTTAAGAATTTCCTGCTAATTCTGATGAAATTATCAACCCAGCTAGTTCGAATGTATTACAAAGCCCTTTAAAATCACAAGGTATTAATATCAGCAATTATTCTAATTATTGTACTATTCATGTTGATGTTTATAAATTATAATAATATAAAATTGTATAGGAACTGTTTATAATAAGGATTGGAAATTTTTTTGAAAATTTAATGATTATGCATCTTTTACTGCTATTTGGTCCAAACACTCTTGACAGCCATTAAAAATGTTACTTTTAAGGTCAGTTATATAAAAACATTTTTAAGCCCAGCTTCTCCTTCAAAAACTCATAGTTCTATAGATCTATCACCATTCATCTTATGGATGTCAAACTCATCCAACTTATTTATAAAACTTGGTAGTTGTAACTATAATAACCATAATCATTTTTATTTACCTACTAAAACCTTTTTAGTATTCTGTAACCTATTATAATATAGAAAATGTTTCATTGGCTCTGTCACGAAATAGCGCGTATCAAAAGAGCCTCAGTCAAAACAGCGCCCTAAAGAAATAGCACTTTTTAAAATAGCGTTAGTCAAAATAGAGCTAAAAAGACTAATCATAAAATAATCATCGCTATTTTGATTGGGTGCTATTTCGTTCAGTGCTATTTTGAATGGGCGCTATTTCGTTCAGCGCTATTTTAATCAGCCCCTCAAATAATAACGCTATTTTGATAAGCGCTATTTGGTTCAGCGCTATTGCGTGACAGACTCTGTTTCATTTCACTGCGATTCCAAAAGTAATCCCACATTTACTTTCCGGATACCCTGTAAATGTTTGTCTGTTCTGCATTTCGAGGCTGTGTTTGCTGGTTAGACATTAATCAATAAATTAAAAACTGTAATTAAATTATGTAGTTATTGTATGTACTATACCGTTAAACTTGTCTAGGTCTATATCGCCCAAAGAAATAATATGGGTACCAAATCTTGCTCCACGTTTTGGACTTCCAAAAAGCTTAACACTTGTTTTTTGTTGTACCTAAAACAAACCCAATTCATCGTTTTTAATATCCCATTGAAAACATTTTCTTCTACAATGTAAAATTGATTTTAAAAGTACACACAAAACAGCACAGAAAGCAAAGAATTTAATCCAAAGGTAAAAGGTCAATTCAATATAAATGATTTCAATCCTAATGACCTGATAAAGAAATTAAATATGCCCCAAAAGCATCTAAAAACATTGTACTTTACTAAATGGCATCTGTGCCAATCACCATCCCGAGCAAAGTGTTTAAACAATACAAATGAAAATATAATTCAGTATAACAATAGTTATATTCGGAAAATTTCGAGAACAAAACATATATTAAAATATTTCTTGAGTACATCGTTAAAGAGAAACACTTTATTTCCCTTAACATCGCACAAAAAAACATCTATTCATAATAATAATTGAAAACCATTAATATTAGAAATCAATATTTGGTGATTTGAAGATTGACGCTCCTTTCACACGTGCCGGGTACCGGATATACGATGCCTAATATCCGGCAATGTTGTTGTATTCAGAGGTATCCGACAAACATTGAATCATCTTAGAGTCGTCGGCAATATACTATTAGTATGGAACTTATAAATTCTTCGATGTCTATATCCACACGTGACATTTTCACTGCTGCACCTCTACTTTCCATGTTTCAAGAGTAACTGAAACGACTTTTGCCTAGGCACATGTGAACGCTGTACCACTAGGATGGGTCGAAAAAATAAAAGCTAAAATTTTAATTTGCTATTGCATTTAAAAGCTGCGTTTTATCATAAAAACCGCTTGTTTTTTTTTTTTTTCTAATTTTAAAATTATCTACCAGCCCCCAAAATAGTTAAAAATAAATTTAAAAGTAAAATTTTAATTAGCATATACACTGGTTGTTACTTTTTGGTAATTTTAGAAATACGTTTTAAGTCCTTTACCGCCCCTTATAAAATTAATATAGACAAAGAAATTTACTTTCGTCATGACAAAATTGAAATCCCGATTTTTAGTAGAATTGTAACCCAACTATTTGCCACTATAAAAGCGCCCTTCAATTTACACTCTTTTTAACATCCCACTCCCACCCTTACATAAAAATAGTACCTACCTAGTTTTTAAACATTATATCTTCTCACCGTCAAATCATCTAAAACTGTAATCTATTTACTTAGGTAGAAACAAAACAAGACCTGTTAATTATTAGAATTCATAATTTGCAGTTGTCGATGCAAGATTTAATATGTTTTCGGGGTTTGTTATAAATACGCTATTTCTTAGATTCGGGCGGTATTATGTGACTAATCGTCGTACAGAGAACATCTGCGTAACTTTGTTTTTGATTAAGAAGTGAATCGTTGTAATAAACACAAAAAACTAGGAGTAAAGTAGAATGTCCTATATTTGGGAACCCAACCGATTTGAATCGTAGTATGTTGATTAAAATTGAACAAATGCTACGATGTTATTTATTCATTCGCTATGAACTAAAATATATTGGAAAAGAACCAAGTCTTTTAGAAGTTTGCAATAAACTTGTGCGTAGAATTGAAAACATTTGGAAAGAGGCATCAATCCCATCTGTTTCAAAAGACAGATTTGTACAATTAATACGGAAGTATTATGATAAATATAATAATTTAATAAGATATCCCATAAGCAAACGAAACAACCGCTGACGAAAATGTAAATACATTTAAAATAGAGTATCATAAAAAATTACTTGATATAGCTGCTTGTAAATGCGATTTTTCTGCATGCCTGTGTAAAAAAACCCGAAATGGAACAAAATTTTCTTTCTGATCAAATATCGGTCAGAAAAATGATCAAAGGAAATGTAGATTGTGAAGAAACAAATATTGTCGAATAAACAAAGGCCAACCAGAGAAATCGAAAAACTAAAAAAATATGAATCAGAATCTTGCAATTTATTAAGACCGAGCTGTTCCTTTCAAACTACTACATTTTTGTGAGGGTCAGAATCAGAATCTGACCCCTCAAAATATCAATCCTCTTCAGATGACAACTTTATCAATCCAAACTCAAAAACGGATAAAGAAAAAACCCTAAATTTTAAACTTATGCTTTATTCTGACCTCAGGTAAACTAACTGGATTTTGGGCATAGTAGGAACATCTGGGGGTACATCATTTTTATATTTTATGAAATATATCTGTTATTTACGTTTGGAGAATAAAATTCTTTAAATAAAAGTTATTTCTCATATTCTTCTCTATAATTTTTGTTCCATACAAAATTTTCCTAAAATGGTCCGTATTCGAGAAATTTTTCAAAATGTAAAAAATTCTGATTTTTAAGAAAATTGTTAAACTAAAAAATGTTTGCGATATCGATCTCTATAATATTTGTTTTTTACAAGATTTCTCTAAAATGGGAAAATTGGAGGAAAAGTATAAAATTTTAAATTTTGAGCATTTTCGTTGGCAATGAGTGTATATAAAAAAATGTTTCGAGTTAAATGTATGTGGAAAATGTATATATTAAGTTAACCTCTAAATATTTACAGAGGTGCTACAATAGGTTGTACAAAATAACCAAAAAAAGCCTGTAATAACTAGATAGGAAAGTCATGTGTTGGACACATCAGATTTTTTTTTTTTTTAATACATATAGTATCATTGCCTTGGATGTGAGTGGTGATGATAGCTGGAACATCCTTATAGTTGGTGCTATCCGCGAGCATAACCTTATAGTAATAAATTCCGTGTTCGAAACCCCGGCTTTTACGTGATAACAAATAGTATCATTTCCTTTGATGTGAGAGTAGTGATGATAGCTGAATCATCCTTGATTTAGGTGCTATCCGCTACGGCAGTCTTTTTTCCTTGCCCTCTGTACATTATCTCCTAGTTAGGCCCTTAAAAGTCTCCGCATTCTCTTAATAATAAGTAAGTTTTCGTAGCTAAATAAATTTCATTCCCACCGCCGTAAATATAGACCTTGCTTTCAATAACAAATTTTTCGTTAATTTTCCCCGAACCGTGGCTTTTTTTAAATTTAATTTTGACGTCTGATTGAGGCTACGCGGAGGTCATATACCGGCCGTTTAATTTACTAATTTTTGTTCAGGGTTATTAGCCATTGCAAGGTAAAAGGGTAGGCGTTGTTTTATTTATTTTATTTTTTTTTATATTTTTTGTACTCAATATATGTTTCAACGTTATTCTAGCGTATTACTGAGGTAGTACTAATTTTCTTACTTACTCCCCCTTATTTTTAGCTAATGAGAAATTATTTCCAAGCGCAAGCAACGATTAAGGTCCATCTTTGACCTCTGGAATTTTTCATCTTCATCTGTAGCTACCCGAGTACTTTCGAAGCTGCTTCGAGAGTTTGTGGAGTAAACCACAACAAAAAATCTGGCGCCCAAGAGCCGGCCATAATAAAGCAATTCGTAAGGAACCATTTTCTCTGTGGTGAAAAAAACTCTTGCAACTAGATGCCGTATATCTGTTGTTCAGCGACGGATAAAGCTCGAGATGTTGTCCGGTGTCTATCCGGTACTGACAAAAACCGTGTATATATGAACGCGTCAATGTTCCGTATGTAGTTTGCTGTGGGATATCAGGCGTCGTATATATGGTATCCGGGACGTGTGAACGGAGCATTATTTGTGTACTTAGGGTGAGATTACAGAACGTCTGCAACTTTGCAGATCTGCAAATATGGCGGCAACTTTGCAGATCTGCAAATTTGGCGGACTTACATAAGCAAGTATCAAGTTTTCGTTTTCCAAAAAAGATCTGCAAATTCGCAATATTTATTGTGGTTTATTACGTCCAGCAACACTAAACCTAAAATCCATTACTATGTTTAAAAACACGATAATCTCACACCATGAACTGTATTCAATCAAAAGAAACAGAAGACTTCATGGTTGTAGGATGTTCTAACCTTCTTAAGGGTGGATTTGGATTTAGGGGTAATAAATATTACGAATTTGCAGATATTTTTTGGATACTTGCATCTGTAAGTCCGCCATATTTGCAGATCTGCAAAGTTGCAGACGTTCTGTAATCTCACCCTTAGTGTTGTAATTCGCATTTTTACAGGTTGTCATAGAAACAACAAAAAACTACTTTGATTACGGTGTAAAAGTTTTGTTTACAAGAGTTTATAATTATTATTGACTATCTGTGGCAAATGGTTTATCCAATGCATCCTTCTTCCTTTTACAGATACACACGGTTTAAAAGGTAGTTAAAAATAATAATTTAGGTTTAAAAGCTGGGTTCACAATGAATTGGGATTGTAATTTTCAGGGCAAACAAAAATATCGCTATCATGTTTTATGTACATTTTTGTATATTAAATAAACTATTTTAACCCCTTTGATCAGGATAGTGATTGGTACAGGTGTCGTTTGATAAAAGTATAATGTTGTTACATGTCTTTTGAGCATTTTTCATTTCGTTATCAGATGACTGCCGAAATTTGAGATGGCTCTCCTATTAATAGAAAAATTCAAAAATTTGAGAAACTATCTTTTGTATGATGATTTATCAAAATACTAAATAAAAAATCTAGAATACCCTTTAATAGTGCCTTACATTGTTGTAATAGAAAACACATCCTTCATCAAATGTGGTTCCGGAAGTCATTGGAGCTCCAACAAATAAATCGTCTGATTTATCATTATCAACGTCTTCTGCCAGAATGGCAGATCCAAAATAAGATCCAAGCTCTTCTCCTCGAAGAATCTGATATAACGTGTTGTTGTACAAAATTACAATCTAAAAAAATGACATCTAAATTGGTAATTATTTCATAATTTTTTTGTTGTATAAAAACTACATCCAACTTATAGACAAGTAATGTAAATAGAGCGTCTACCACGTGATCAGGCCAAAATCTTCCTTAATTGGTTAAATCTTAAGAAGCGAGCAGTATGTACCTATGTATGTATGTATGTATGTATGTATGTATGTATGTATGTATTGATATGGTAAATTTTTCACTTTTAAATTATCAAAGTAAATGATACATATTGGTATGATGCAGTGACACCCTGTATAGAAATTCAATTATGAATCGGGCTTTTGAATGATGGGAGATTGATTAAGAAAAATGGGGTTGTCAATTTTTGAATTTTTAAAAAAGAAATGTCAGTAATTTTAGAGGAGCAATAGTTTTCTAAATAGAAGAGATAATATTACTAGTATTATAAAAATAAATAAGCAAACTGTTAAGCTACTGTGTTAAAAGATTATAAGATCATAAAGATATATAAAAAAGGAGAGTACATGCAAAAGGTGGTAGACGGATAAGACCGGGAGTCCAAGAAGGAAGATAAAACTGGAAAGTGGAGATACCCAGACCGGTATTTATGAACATTTTAATTTGTGCCATTAATGACTTTCAAAAAAAAAAGGAATAATAGATATTCAATCACAAGTTTTTTTTTTTTGTTGAAAGTTTGAACAGTTATATTTATAGTTATAGTTTAGTTGTTAATAATTTTACCATGTCAGACTAAATGTATAGTCTAGCCTAAGCAATCAAGTTTAGGATTTTGTAAACTTTTGTTTGACAACAGTTTTGACATTAGTAGGTGTAGTAGGGTAGCTTATAAGTTATTTTCTTCCAAGGTATTTAATATTTGTTCAATTTTCCTATGACGATTTGTTGAAAATTAAACTATAAGGTAATTTTTATAAGTTTGTTTATTTAAGCATTTTTTTGACACAATATTGCATAATTCCAAATAAATTCTATAAAAAATTAAAATAAAATTAAAATAAAATTAAAATAAAATTAAAATAAAATTAAAATAAAATTAAAATAAAATTAAAATAAAATTAAAATAAAATTAAAATTAAAATAAAATTAAAATAAGATTAAAATAAAATTAAAATAAAATTAAAATAAAATTAAAATAAAATTAAAATAAAATTAAAATAAAATTAAAATAAAATTAAAATAAAATTAAAATAAAATTAAAATAAAATTAAAATAAAATTAAAATAAAATTAAAATAAAATTAAAATAAAATTAAAATAAAATTAAAATAAAATTAAAATAAAATTAAAATAAAATTAAAATAAAATTAAAATAAAATTAAATTAAAATTAAAATAAAATTAAAATAAAATTAAAATAAAATTAAAATAAAATTAAAATAAAATTAAAATAAAAATAAAAATAAAAATAAAAATAAAAATAAAAATAAAAATAAAAATAAAATTAAAATAAAATTAAAATAAAATTAAAATAAAATTAAAATAAAATTAAAATAAAATTAAAATAAAATTAAAATAAAATTAAAATAAAATTAAAATAAAATTAAAATAAAATTAAAATAAAATTAAAATAAAATTAAAATAAAATTAAAATAAAATTAAAATAAAATTAAAATACAATTAAAATAAAATTAAAATAAAATTAAAATAAAATTAGAAGTGCTTATTGAAACTACCCCTGGGAAAGAGAAACAAAGGCGTTCAACGGGCTATTGTAAAGGTTGTGTTTAGAACAAACATTACAAATGGCGCCCAACGTGGGGCAGTGAAGTGTAAAACGTGGGCAGTAAAGTGTAAAACGACACAAGTGACAAAGTGATAAAGTCATAATATAAAATAGTGTTGTGATAATATTAAAGTTAACTAAAACAAATATTATGGAAAATAACATGGTATTAAGAGGAGGAAAGAAGGTTGGGCAAGAAGAAGAAAAGGAAGATAACAATGATATAGGACAAGGAGATATATCTCAAATAGATAATCAGAACTTAAGAGGAAACATATTTGAAATGAACAATAATGACAGTGGAGAAGAAACGGAGGAAAAAGAACTAAGGGAAATAAGTACTGCAAAAGAAAAAGAGATTGTAAATACTGAAAATAAAATAGAAAAAGAGTGGATGAATGAAATGTTCATTAAGATGATGGAAAAAATGAATAAAATTGATGAAGACAGAAAACATGACACGAATAGAATGATAAATAAAATAGAGGAAAATAATAGAAGACTAGAAACTATGGAACAAAACATGATTAAAAGAATAGAAGAGAATAATGAGAAAATGGAAAATAAACTAGAAATGTTTCAGAAACGAATAGAAGAATCGAAGGAACAGATGGAAACTAGAATTCTAGAAACAAAGAAAGAAATTAGAGAAGAAATGGTTGGAAGAATGTGCGAGGTAGAAGAGTTTATGGACAAAAAAATTGAAAACATTAAAGAAGAAGTTAAAGAAATAAACATAAATAAAGAAGAAGTGATAGAGAAAATGAATACGTTTGAAAATAAGTGGATAAGTACTATAACTGGAGTTGACAATAGAATGGAACAGAATATAAAAGAAACAGAAATACAAATAAAAAGAATAGACAGAAATATAACAAGCAATAGTAGGAATATAGAATTAGTGGAAAACAGAATTAAAGAAGGAATACAAGTAAACGTAGATATCGCAGAGGAAGAAAATAAGAAAACGATCAAGGAACTTAAAGAAGAAATACAAGTTATGAAAGGTAAAATAAAACAACAAGGAAGAACAGGAATAGGGGAAAATGTAGAATATGTGGGAATTAGAGCTGTGTATGGTGGAATAAATCACAAGTTTGATGGAAACATAAGAAGATTGCATCCTAAAATATTTGTACGAATTTTAAAGAATAAAATAAGAGGAACAACAGACATAGAAGATATGAAAGAAATTATAAGAGACCATTTGGAGAATCACCCTCTAATGTGGTTTGCTGCCAGAGAAAAAGAAATAACAAACTTTAGTGATTTTGAAAATTTATTCACACAATACTTCTGGGGGGAAAATGTACAAGCTACAATTAGAGAAAATTTATATTTTGGGAAGTTTATAGAAAATAAAAATACCAGTATGAATAATTATGCAATTTATTTACATGCCATAACTCAATATCTCGAACCGCCAATACCTGAAGAGGAAATTGTTATGTTTATATCTAGACATTACAAGGCGGAAATAGCTGAAACAATAGCTTTACAAAATATTCGTAAAGTAGATCAATTATGTAACTATCTACTAAGAGTAGAAAGAAACTTAAATAGATATGAAAAAAATAATAGTCAAAACAATGGAAGTAATTATTATAGCAATAATTCAAATATCAATTATAATTATAATAGAAGAAATTTTAACAATAATGATAATTACAATACTAAACAATACGTTAGTAACAATAGTAGAAATAACTTTAATAACTATAACAAAGATTATAATAATAATACAAACAATAACTATAATAGGAATAACAGCAGCTACAATCAAAGATACGCTAATAATTATGACTCAAACCGAAACAAACATAATGAAAATTATCAAACACAAAGAGGACATGAAAGAAGTCATTCAGAAGATAAATTAGTAAGAAGAAATGAAAACGATGGAACAAGGAGACTAAATTATCAAAGAATTGAAGAAAGAGGAACAAGAAGCAAGTCTGAAGAGAGAGGACAAGATGTATCAAGAATAAATGACATTGAGATTGATTTTACAGATACACAGACAGGACAGACAACAGCACAGATACACGACAGTCATTCTTTTTAAAGACGCACTCACCAAATAAGCAAATTCTATATGTTTGCGCATTCGAAAATCCAATAGAATTTATTAATTTAGATGAAAATACAGAAGTAAATGGAAACAATGGGTTAATAATAATAAATGGTTTGGTTAATAATGTAAAAACTAAATTACTTATTGATACGGGCTCTGAAGCTTCATTGATAAGTCATAATCTTGTAAAAAAATTAAAAGTATCAGAAGAGAAAATTATTAAAATTCCAAAAATTAATTTAGTAGGTGCAAATTCTAGAAAATTATGTGAGATAACTAAATCAATTAATATAAATGTAAATATTGAGGGTATAGAAATTAATTTACAAACCTTAATAGCTCCGAATATTGAAACTGAAATAATAATAGGATGTGATGAATTAGAAAAACACAAAAGTATTATCAATTATGAAGAAAGAAAACTAAAAATGGATGAAAATTGGATAAGTTTTGATTTAATTGCTTTAAATGAAAATAATAGGAAGAATATGAATGTGTATAAAAAAGAAATAAATAAGAATAATATAACAAGGGACGTAGAAAAATTAGAGGAATTTGATATAAATTGTCCCGAAGAAAGGAAGAAAAAAATAAAATTATTAATAGAAGAATATAAAAATTTGTTTACAAAGGAGAATAGAATAGCAAAGAATTATGTACATAAAATAGAGGTAAATAATGATATAAAAAATTTTAAAGCAAAAACATATCCAATTCCTTATAAATACAAAGATCAAGTCAGAGATAATATTAAAGAGTTAATAAAAACGGGAATAATTGAAAGAAGCACATCACAGTATGTTAATCCTATTGTTGTAGTTGTAAAAAAAAATGGAGAGCTAAGATTATGTTTGGACGCGAGAAATATTAATAAGTTTTCAAAACCCCAATATGAAGCACCTATGTCTGTGGAAGCGATTTTAGGACGTATTACAAGAACATCTGTATTTTCAAAATTGGACCTTAAGCATAGTTTTTGGTTAATACCTCTACATGAGGATAGTCGAGATTATACTGCCTTTTCTATTGATGGAGAAATTTATAGATTTTGCGTGGTGCCGTTTGGTGTCCAGAGTGCATGCAGTGCGTTGACGAAGGCGCTACATCAAATATTGAACAAATACGAATCCTTTGTTCTTCATTATGTAGATGACATTCTTATATTTTCGAAGAATGAAGAAGAACACTATGACCA